TTAGAAGTTCAAGTAAGTTCATGTTCAAAGGATCTCTTGAAAATACACAGCTAAAAGTTAAAAGACTAGCTGGAGATTCCAATTTCTAAGGATTATTTCCTGTTTACTTTTCATACCAGCCAGCCGAACTCTCACATTTCATCTTGGGGGCAAGGACTCAACTGTCTGTAGAGGACATACTTTGTTCCCTTACACTCAAACAGGCAAATGCAAGATGGACTCCCACCTCCATCTGCTAAAAAGGTAGAGCAACAACCGGGAGGTAGAGAAAGCCGTCTTGGGAGAGGGACGCTGAACACAGCACAAGGAACTTCTTTGTTCGAGAGCGTAGGAATCAAAACACTGAAACTGCTGTGGTATTTTGGGTATTATCCAAAACAACAGAGTTGCTAGTGAGAAAATGAAAACTGATATATTTCAGTTGGACAGTTTGTACTTTTAATGCTACATTCATGCACAACAATCAAAAGGCAAGAATCTGGAGTCCTTACTCAGCCTCGCTTCTCACCGAAATAGGGGTTTTACACTACTTGTGAAATAAGAAACATTTTTTTTTGTTGCTTTTAAAGACAGACAGATTACATTCAGCCATGGGCCAGAGGAAGGAAGACAGAAAAAAAATAAGAAGGGCGTTTGTTAAGACATTGACCTTTCTAAAAGGGCTGTAAGGGCTTGAGAAACGTCCAGAAGAGAAGTTCTCCCAAATGCACTTCATCATTATCAGTAGCAGGTTTTTCCATATGCTGCTCTGCTTGCACCCTTCATGCTGCCACTGGCATATTCCTTCCGCAGCTATTATGCAGGAACTGTTCCAGACTGACAAGAACATCTATCTGTGCATGCGTACTGATTACTTATGGTCACACAGTTTTACTTTCAAATAAAAGAGGGTAAGTGTAAAACCAGTGTGCACAGAAGAGTATTAGGCTAGAGCATTTCTGTCGGTTCACTAAAAACATCTGCCTTTAGAGAGGAAGAGTACATGTATTATTTGTAGTAAAGATTTGAATCAAAAAAGTTTTACACAAATGTCATCGTTAATAAAAATGAAGTTTATCTGTATGTGAATTGACTTTAAACAACATGTTTTTCAAAGTTTTCGCTGAACTGTCAGACAGCCTTCGGGGACGACAGGAAAAACACACTAATACGGCAAATGTTATAAATCCCCAGAATAACTCTTATCCCATTTATGTTTTGATTCTGTCATTGCTATCCATCTACCCTTATCCTGAGGCAGTAATGAAGTACAAGACTTGTTTCAAGTAGGGATGAGTGAGCACTGTACTTGAAAGCCATAGTTAACTAAACGGAGCCCAGACTGCCATCGGTGCATTAAATGTTATGCCAATATGAGTCCAGCCCCACACTGCCATAACTCTTCTGGAGCTTGTCTCCCATTACAGCTGGTGATAGGGACCAGGACACGTGGCAAAGCAACAAAACTGGCAAATTTGAGGCATTCTAACTCGGAGACAGTGCGGTCAATATGGTCAAAAAGTAGCGAAGGCTCCATTTACAAAGGGTACGTTTTTCAAAAGTGTCTGAGTCACACATGAGCCTCAAGGTAAATTTTTCACCATGTTCACATGATTCAGGAATCCTGTTTTCCAAAACCCTGAAGGTTGTGCAAGCACAAAGATGTGGGAGGTTTTCCCATGTGATCCTACTGTGCCAGCAGAAGAATATTTTAATACTATTTATTCTGAAACAGCAATGCTACCTTAACCTATTTGATATTAATTTTCCATAGCTCTTAGCATAAGGCTAGCAAAAATCACTGATAACAAAAAATAAAAAACCCTTTTAAAATTGTATTTGCAGTTGCTCATTGGCATCAACCTACGATATCAAGGTTAAAAGTTACAGGGCAAATCATGAGTAAATTATAATATACCTGCAGAGTCCCCGACTGCCCATCTGACTTTCTCCCATTAGGAAAAAAAAATTTCTGACTGTTTTTTCTACAGAATGTCATTTTGGTTGTTAACTGCTTTTAAGAAGACCACAAAAGTAAGAAAACAAACAAGGTTGAGGAACGGAAAGCAATATATGCAAATATTTTCCAGTTAACATATATGTTATTGCTATCTGTTAGGGTCAGAGATTTATTTGGTTGTAGTTAAAAAGCTAAGGAAGGAATTGGAGATGAAGTCTTCTACTATAGTGGGTGTTCTTAATCCACCAAGTAAAGGGATACAGAATGCACGCATCAGGAAAACGTGGCTGAAATCGCTATATAAAGGGAACTAAAGGAGCGACATCTCTGGCAGGCCAACCTACTGCAGGGGATACGACTGCAGAAAGAGCACGGTATTTCAATGAGCGGGCAGGCGGTGGCAAAGGAGCCAAGATGGGCAGAGCTGAGCAGAGGCAGGCAGGCACATGGTGGTAGCAGCGCACGCCTGTCGCTCTTCCTGCCTGTCATTAAGCTGGCCAGCCTGGGTGGAAACTGTCCTGTCTGTGCGCAGCACGTTGAATGAAAAACCTCCTTTGTCTCCTCTAGAGCACGGTCCTGCCTATTTTTTTGTCATGAAGGACACTACGTGGTGTTAAATTATACATAAATATCAAGTAGGACTTTTGTCGGAAATGAAAAGCTAATCATCCAGTAACATGATTTAGTGGATACTTACAATCAAAACAAAGAATTAACCACCAGCATTTGAGCAATTCAGACTGTGATTTCTGTAAGAGTTCACCTCTACTCACAAAGAATAACAGAGGCTTAACAAAATGTTCTACTTCCTGGGGCAGGGGAATACAATATTTATCTGCCCTGGTTTCCAGTGGGACATCACGCACCACAATCAATCATCTCATAAAATATTACGAGGTAAAGTGGTGGCAATTTAGATAATAAAACAGCAAACTAAGTTACAAGAAGAAACTAAAAGCTAACCAAATTAGCAAGTCCCCAGTTTCATCAGCTCACAAGGTTACCAAAACTCACATCTTAAATTCTGCCAACTTTATCATAACCTTCTTTTTGCTTCTTTTAAGCTATGGAGGTGCCTAGAATAGAGTCTATAGTTGGGCATGAAACTACAGCAAACTTACAATGGACACAGACTCTTTATTTTCTTTCAAAACAGGCCATTAATTCTGATGCCTCTTGAGTCCTCTGTGTAGTAATTCTCTGACAACTTTTCAGACATTTCTAATAAAGAATTCATCTCTGAATGAAACCTGGGGAATGGTAGTTCTGCCTTTTTGCTTTTATACTTCTTCAGTACTAAATGCCTCATGTCCATTTATTTAAGAACATAATCTTAGGAAACACATGGGAAAAATCTTTCAGTGAAGAGACTGGAATTGCTACAGACAACACGTGGAGGTAACCTGCAATGGCAATGACACTGGAACTGAAGCGTTACGCCCCTTATTCACTGTCCCTCTGCTTTTCCTCCTACAAGCACACATCCTTTCGTTGACACAGCTCTCTAGCTGGCAATGAACACAAATTTTACTTGGTATACTGAGAGTACCACTCACAATAAAAGTTATTTTTCTCTTCGCAGCCCCTTTACCAAGGGGTAAATACATCCAATTACCAGACCAAAATACTCACTGCTTCTAGTATGGCAGAAAAATGCTTTGCTAAACATTGGCAAATAAATCTCAAATATGCATATACACAAAAACTAGGATTGGTAAAGTGCTTAGCTTCTCCTTTTAGAAAGGGAGTCTTTCTCCAAGGATTGGAGATCTTTTGGCTTCCACAAGTCTGATAACTCATCATAACTGCAATTAAATCCAAGTATTAGAATACAGAACTGATTTTAATGGTGAGTTTGTTCCATACAGCTCATGTCCCTACAAGGAACACAGCAGCAGTTTTACTCCATTGAGTTGGAACCTTCCACCAGAGTCTGGACAGAGGCGGAGCACTGCAGTGGTGGGAACTGGGCTTCTAGGAGACACTCTGTCCCACACTGTGGTCATTGCCTGGTGAGAAAAAACTGAAGAACTTGTCTCCAAAGAGTTGAGGGATGTGGAAGGGGGCTTCAAATTAGGGTGAGGGTCCTGTGCTACTAAACAGGTATGTAGTGTAATTATATCCATGTTGTCATATAGCTAACTGCCACGAGAGGTTACTCTATTATGGAGTCAAAGTATTTGAACACAAATGTGAATAGCAAACCATCCTGAACTATACACCTTCATTTTAATTTTATCCTCCTCGTATCAATCAATGTATTGATGCTTATGTGGAGTACACGTTTGAATTTTGATTAATGACACTGTTAAGTGGATCCATACCTGAGCAACTGATCAAAGGTAGGAAATGAAACTAAAGCAGTCTGTACATCATGGGATTCAGTATGTTGTTTCCTTCTGGTATATCGCTAATATTTAGGCAAAGTGCATCACCAGTTTTCTGTGAGGTAAACAAAAAATCACCTCCACTGCTTCTAACGCATGTTGGTAGAAGTGTAAAGAAGCTTTAAGTAGTAGTTATAAATTGATGAAAGATGACAATTTACTCACGGAAAAAAAAAAGAAAAGAAGAGTTGACTGGTCAAATCATAAAGCAGATTCAGGTTTGGCAGAGACTCTGTGAGACAGCTGTGCTTTACCCTTTTCCAGTACTTGAAATGCATTACTGAGGCATTGAGGATCCTTTAAAATATATACAACTACAAAGGACTTTTTTGATGGATAAGCGTATAAAGGAGGGGTAACATGTGTTGATCCTGGCAATTCAAAGTATGCA